TCCAATCTCTGATCCTCACCCCTCTGACTTCTGTCTCATTTCTCCCTCTCCTGCTTCTGGCTCACTGCCATCTCCAACACCTGTCCTGAGCTCCTCTCCACCTCCAAACCCCCGTTTCTTTGCCACTGTTTTATCCCCTCTGCCTTTTCCTTTTCTCCTGAGCAACTAGGTTTCTGCCTTAGTTTCTTTCCCAGCTGTCTCCTCCTTGCCACCACTTATCTGCCCCCTTCCCCCCCAATATCTCAGCTGTCTGCCTCAGTTTCCAGCTCCAGTCTACCTTAAGTAAACCCAAGCCTCAGTTCCTCAGCCAGCTTCTCTGTAGTCTACTGGTTCTAATCCTGGTTCTGGCAACTTTCACTCCCTACACTTTAATTCTCTCTCTCCTGAACTGTATCCCAAATATGCCAAGCACACACATACACACTGTACCATCCAAGTTAGGAACTTACCTGTGTGTATGTGTAGGTGGGTTGTATGCATGTGAACTGGTGAGTGTGTGTGTGTTTGTATATATATATGGCATTGTGTACATGATATACGAATTAGTGATCTGTGTCTAACTTTTGGGGTCTATAATGTATGTGCTTGAATTGGTGATAGGTATGCCTGTGCCTAGGCTGGTATGGATGTGTATGTGCCTGAGCTGGTAGTGTGTGTGTGTGTATGGACCTAATTAATTTGTGTGTTTGTATATGTGCAATTGTGTCACACCCTCCTTTCTAACAGAGCAATATTGAGATCCTGAGAGTTGGTCTGACCCCACAGGGCAACAATTATACATGTTCAAACCAGAATTTGGGGAATCAAGTGGGAAACAAGTTGTTTTATTGTTACAATGTGACAGACACTAAGTTGAACTGTTCCTTCTTTTGACTACAACATAGACAAAGCATTACTGAATCTTCACATGCACATGCACAGGAAACAAAGGAAAATCAATGTTAATTTCATCAAGTTGGAACAGTTTCACAAAACAAGTTTGGATTTTTAAAGAACATTGTTACAAATATTTTAGAAAAAACAAATTAATTTTGGGATTAGGAACAGAAATGTCGTTCACACCTCATGCTACAATTAGCAGAAACAGAAGCAAGAGCTCACAAAAACATCTCTATTTGTTAAAAAATTTTACAATCCTACATTCAAACATCTGAGGCATGCATACCCTTTTATTTTTTTAATACAATGCATTTCTTTTATTTTATAGTTCCTTAGAGTTCTTATTTTACATAATTAACTGTGCTAAGAATGTATATTCTTATCTTCCACAATCAAGCTTGGTCTATTCAAGCTTCACAAGGATAGATATTAAAAAATATTCTTCTTATTATTATTATTTTATTAATGTTAAGCTTCTACAACTCATAACACAGTTGACTGGATGAAAACTGAAGTATACCTTTCCCATTAAATGCTCCAAACTGGATCCCAATATGGGTATCCTGGCTCTTTAGGACAATAATTAGATGCATGGAAAGGCATGTTTTTACTGGGAAAATACAAATTAAGAAATATATTAATTGTCATGGCTCTGTGAACATAATATTGAATGTGCCTTCATTTTCAGTATGGACAAGGGAAGTCTTGTTTAAAAATGCATTACTTAGTGGTTAATACTCTCACCTCTGTACTTTTCAAATCTAATCGTATTGTTAACCATGCTTTTTGTTGTGTTTTTTTTAATGTTTCCACCTCCTTTTCATACTACATTAAAGATTCTGTTAATTACTGTATTTATTCAAATATTTCCCTTTTCAGTGCAAATGTACCTGCTCATGGTCAGCAGGGGAGTGAAAAGGTACACAGTTCAATGAACGTGATCTGACCAACTCTAAGATCCTGCTTTCTCCAAGTTCATGGAGTAGATGTTAAAGCAGCCTTTGAAACAGCTAGGCTTTCTGTCATCTAAGAGAGAAAGAAAGATCATGCTTTGATATTAGAGGGATGGATAAAAGGAAAGAAGAAATATGCCAACCAGATTGCCCGTATCTATACTCATACGGGCAAATAAAACATTGCCCATATCTATACTCATCATATATGAGAAAAACTCTTATTCATTTGCAAATGACTGCATAACTCACGTGATCAAAATAAAATATGGCAAAGGACAAGAGCAAAAGTTATAAAAGGAAACACCAATTTCAATTCTCCTTTGTCTTACTCAAAACATTCTTTAAAGGATTTCATTAACCTACAACATGGTATTTTGACATTTGGAACTGAAATCCACACAGTAAAACACTTTAAAAAATAAAGATCTCAAAATCCACTACATACCTGATGAGATGTCTATTCTGTTCTTCTTGACTTGGGTGACATTGACGTGAACACTGACTTTGCCTTCAGTCAAGTCAATCTCGACATTACCCAGTCTGTCAGCAAAGTTGCTGAAGAGAAGAAGTCCGTTTGGGTTCCAGGTTCTGAACTGGAAACTGACTGAAAACAGATCCTGACTTGGGCGACCAGGAACCTCCAGGTAACTAGTAGCATTGAAAAAGACAGGCACCGTATGTGGTTCCACACAGGAAAAACTTAAATTTCCCTAAATAAAAACACAAAAAGTGAAAGCCATAAGTAAAACAATAATAAGACTCTTCTAAATTATAAATACTTCTAAAAAAGAAGTGGACTTTCAAAGTCTAAGCTTCATTCTATTTTGTAACCCCAGTGAATTTAAGAGAAATTGTATTCAAAGATCAAACATCATCATCACCATATTGCCTTGAGGCTCACACCAAAACAGCACTCTAATTGCACTGGTCATTCTCTCAGTATGGGGTAAAAGAAGCCTTTGACCTGACAAGATACATTTTAATTAGGCAAGACGGACAGAATTTGGGAGTTGGAAAATATTACTGGTTCCAGTTTACAAATGTTCAAATGAGGATCAAAGGGCTTGCTTCTTGTCACTAAGGAAAACTGTGAAAGCTGAGGAACAAAGTTTTCTTCAAATATAAAATATGACCCTCTGAGCATCAGATTTAAAAGCATCTAAAGTAGCTTTTGGATATAAGATTGTATTGTAGTGTAATAGACTGACTTCTCTGTTATGTTTTCTGATGGATAATTCTGGATAAGTTAGTACTTTACTTCACAAAGCTGAGGGATTTAAGAGTGACAGCTCATGAACTATTCCTAATGGTTGTGGTTAGCTGATCACTTTCTCTGTATATAAGCAGTCTCAAGCTGCACTCTACTCTTAGCCCCCAGTGTAAATCTGGGTAACTACTGACTTCAGTAGTTAGAAATGACTTTCATGATTGTAAATAAAATTATGAGTGAGTCTGTGAAAGACCTTAAATAATCTAAGGTCTTGTGTAATTTCTCATAAAACCTTTTACTGAAGGGTAGCACCACAAAAAAGAAAATAATTATTTCTCTTAGTTATAGCACTTGAAAATCTACTAACAGCCACTAATGCATTATGTTCTTTTCAGCAGAGCTATGAACTACATTGGAGCTGTTCCAATATAGCAAAGCAACAACATGACATCCTGTAGGTCTCATACACATGTTACACCTAACGCATGATTAACCAGTTTAACATGCATTGATGATCACCCAGCCACATGTTCAATCAATTAATGGCATGATAAAAAGCTACAAGGTAATTCCACAATATGTATGTAATAATTCTGTAGCTGCTTCCTATCATACCGTAAATTGAATATGTGGCCAGGGCCCCTGTGGCTGGCAGCCCCATCAGCTGATTGGAGCTCCCAGCTAGGGGTGTGGAGGGAGGGTCAAAGTGTACTGCTGAGCCTGGGAGCTCCTAGCTGACAGGGCTCCCAGACACACTTCCAGCTGCTGTCATCTCCCAGATCAGGGTCATTCCCCATCACCTAAGGAGGCTCCCAGCTGTAGCAGCTTGCTTCTTGCCAGTGTATGGGGAACCCAGGATTGGGTTCCCCCTGCACTAGCAATAAGGCATGATGGGATCTGATTTGTGATCCACAATTATGCCTCCTGCCATGCATGTGTGGCATGGCAGGAGGTGCTATTGTGTGGATCATGTGTTAGAGCCCCTCGTGCCTTTACCTACATGTGCAGAGGGGCCTGTAGTCATATATCACAAGACAAGTTGGACCTACATCCTTTGGCTTGTCCTCTTGGTCTTTTCCCTGGCAAACACTGACCATGGGATAAGCAAAACTTCCCTTATTTCTGCTTTTTCAATGCCAAATGTAAATTAAAAAGTAAACAGGCCCCTGGCATTTAATTACCATTGGAACTGTCTGCCCAATTGGAATAGTATAGTTTCCATAAATGCATTCTACATATCAAACGCTACTTTGCATATAGTGCAAGAAAATCATATTGCCCAACATCCTACCTCTAGAGGGCAGTAAAACATATTAGTATCTTAAGTATTTAGCCATCAGCTGGTGAGAATGGTGGAGAGAGAGAAGTTAACTATGTGAAACCCTGAACTTAATAAAAGTGTTTATGTTAAACATGTAAAAGATTTGTATCTGTCTTTATAATAATCCCAGTAATACAACAATGTCCTTTTAAAACACATTTGCAGTGTCCACTGAACTGTTAAAAATTTAGTGGCCTTCTAAGTTGAAGAGTTATACAAATTTGTTTTTTTACTAACACTGTGAACGAAAAACACGGTAATCACTTTACTGGAAAAGGCAAATGACTTTCTTAAATATTTTCTGACAAGACTTTTGCAGTCATTGTGGATTTTTGTGGAGATGTCCTTTCAAGTTTTTAACTGACAGACTAAAGATGTTTAAATGTGAGGTTACACATTACAAATAGACTACAGTAATGGCACTTAAAAAGCCAGTGTTCATACATTAAGGTTCCTTAACAAGTGTAACACTATTTCAGGTGGGGATTAGCTTTAAATCTTGCTACCTAGCTCAAATTGAGGGAGAAACAAGTGGGAGGGGGCATGGTGGTAGGGGGCATAGGGTGAGGAGTTGGGTGGGAAGCTGCCAGGAGGCTGTGGGAGGGTGAAGATTAGCAGCTCCCTGTGTGTCTGACAACACCACGCTGCCACTACCAGGCCCCTCAACTGGCTAACAGCTCTCCATGGAGGAAGAGGGGGAATCAAGGGGAGGGGGCAAGGGTGGCAAAAAAGCTCCTGGACTGCTGTGTCAACATTGACATTTCTGCACTGAGTCAAATCCAGCAAACAGGAGATGTGCATCTCAAAGAACAAGGAGATGGCTATACCTTCTTCTGAAAGGGTAAACAGGAAGGAAAACACTGACTTCACAGTTTATTCTTTCCCATTGAGTTGTCTTATGAGTTCATTCTTAAAGAGGTCCCTATCAGAATTAATAAGTGCCTCATGACTCTCTGTCTCAAATTGTCAGGGAGCCAATATGTCACTGCTATCATTACATATATCCCGACGCTTGACATCACCAATGAAACCAAGGAATAATTCTATGCCAACTTTGACCACAGCCTTTCTGATTTTCCAGAATGAGACAGGCTTGTTCCGCTAAGTCATTTCAATGCCAAAGTCAGGAAGGACTACAACCTCTGGAACTGAATTATTGGCAAGAAAGGAGTGAGAAAGGCTAACTCCAATGACATCTTTCTCTTGCCCAAATGTGCAGAACATGGACTCACCATCACCAACACCAACATCCTGTTTCACAGAAATACAGGTAGAAGACATCATGGCAACACCCATGGTGTAAGCATTGGCACTTGATTGACTACACGATTGTCCATGCCAAGGACAGCAAAGATGTCCACATCATCCAAGCAATGCTGGCACCTGCAATTGCTGGACTGATCACTGACTCGTCTGCTCAGTTATGTCACACAAATAATGGCTGCAGTACAATCAATTCCAAGGGAAGGTCAACATTGAAGGACTCAAGGATCTAAACAGACAAGACCTCTTCCATCAGTGCTTCAATGAAAAACTGGTGAATTCAAATCAACAACAACAGAAGACTATCAGCAGTGCTTGGGGTGCCTTTAAGTCCACCATCATCAGTGCCTGTGAAGAGACACTTGCATTCTCTACCAGGAAACAGCAAGATTGGTTTGATGAGCATGACCAGGAAATCCAAGAGTTGATTGACCAGAAGTAGAAGGCCTGTTGTGATTGGCAGAACAACACTGACAGCAAGCAAAAGAAACTGAATCAGCAAGAAGCCAAGGAAGAGGTCTAATGGAGGACCCTTAACATGAAGAACAGAGAGTGGGAAGACAAGGTGAAGGAGATTCAACATTTCACTAAAATCCATAATATCCATGGTTTTTTGGTGCCACCAAAGCCACCTATGGTCTGAGCTCTCAGGGACCAAACCCCTTGAAACCTAAGGATGGAAGATGGCTGATCAAGGAAAGGAGTGCTATCAACACCAGTTGAAAGGAACATTCTGAAGACCTTTCCAATCAAGTCTCTATTGTTGACAAGAGAGTTCTCAATTCTATCCCACAACACCCAGTTAGAGACAATCTCAGAATCCTTCCAACCCTTAATGAGGTGAGGAAAACGATCTAGCAGATGAACAATGCCAAGACATCTAGAGCAGATGGAATCCCTGCCAAAATCTTCAAGCAGGTGGGATAGGAACTTACATCACAGCTCCATGCCCTCATCTTAAGGCATAGATGAGGAAATCCCAGATGACCTCAGGAGTGCCATGATCATGACTATCTTCAACAAAGGAGACAAATCTGACTGAAAATTACAGAGGGATTGCCTTGCTTTCCACCACAGGAAAGATCATTGCAAGAACTCTCCTGAACCATCTCTTTCCATTTGCTGAAGAGCTCCTCCCGGAATTGCAGTGTGGATTTAGGGCATCAAGAGGCTCAACTGACATGATTTTCACTGCTCACCAGCTGTAGGAAAAATGCCGGGAACAACATAAATCTCTCTATATGGTCTTCTTTGACCTCATGAAACCCTTACACACTCAACTGAGAAGCACTGTGGAAGATCCTTCTGAAGTACAGATGCCTATCTGAATTCATCACAATTCTTCACCTGCCCCATTACAGTATTCAAGTGGTGGTTCCCAGTAATGGATCTATCACAGATCACTTTGAGGTTAAGGAGTTAAGCAAAGCTGTGCCATTGCACCAATATTCCTTACTGTGATGTTACATCCGACCATCAATTCAGTGGAGCTAAGCTACTGAATGGATGGTAAACTGCTTAATCTCAGCTGACCAGGCCAAAACCAAGACTAACCCAACCTCAACCACTGGGCTCAGGTACGCTGATAATGCTGTAGTGTGTGCTCACTTGGAAGTAGACATCTTTACTGAGGTATAAAAGAAAATAGGACTGATGCTTAACATTCAGAAGACTAAGGTCTTCCATCAACAAGCTCTTAATGTTTCTCTCTGATTCAGGGGACAGTTGCTTGTGTAACTCACATTAATGATAATATAAATGAATGCATGCCAATCTTTTACACATCAATGAGATAATGTATCCTATAATTCCATAAATAATTTATTCAGTAAGCAGCCTTGAATTCTAGACTATAATTACCTTCATGTCTCTCACTGAGCCAAACTGATTTTTCCCCCCTACTGAGATATTCAACT